GGATTGGGTTGGAGTGAAAAGATGAAGAGAGAGTGGTGGAAGGCATGGTTGGTGGAAAGGGAAAAGGAGTGGTTTCATGCAGAGAGGAAGGTGGAGGGTTGTGAGGATGAAGATTGTGGTAGAAAGAGCAGCGGTGAAAGGAGTGTGCTTCAAAATTATGACTGCGGTGAATCCAACATTTTCGTCGGAATCTTCTGTGTCTTGTGTTGAACAACGATTGAAGCTGTTATGGAAGACAAAGTATGTTTCCACAACCAAGAGGAATCGCCATGCGTGCTGGACTCCTGTGCTACAAAGCATCCCTGAGTAGAGATTAGTTTAACTTGTGGATTTACTGTCGCAAATTACATTCATATGTAGGAAGCTTAATCATCACAGATTTTCTCTTTTTGTGACATCATGTTATCCATAGCATCTGTCATTTCTCTCTCTGGTTGCAGAGTTTCGAATGTACACATAACATTTACCCAACACTTTTTCTAGTTCTCATTATTGGCTAATTTGTAACTGCAGTGCTTTTTGCAATTAAAATAAATCACTGTGATAATAATTTTTTACAATAAATTATATATTATTATTTTATTGATATGTATATTTAAAATGAATCAATCACATACTACTATGAGATAGACCATTATAAAATAAAAGCTTAAATATTTACTTTATTTCAGAAATAAATTTCTATTTAGTATTTGATTTAAAAAATAAAAATATTAAATCTCTGTATAAATAAATTCATATCATTATTTTGACAGCAACCGCCTTAACTTTTTCTCTTCTCTTTCTTTCTTTCTCTTGTTTGACTTTTTCTCTTGTTGAGCTTTTTCACCCCCGCCCAATCTAACATCTACGAGAAACACTAAGTATTCTTTTCATAAACATTTCCGTTATTTCTGTATGTGGTGCAGTTTGCCATTCTTAAACTAAGCGCTGAAGATCAGAAAAGTTGTGAGGATATGGATTTGAACAAGCCTCATTTTATTAAGAGTAAGTAAAAGAACTATCTGTACTTAGTTGTTGAGCTTCGTATATAATTTTTGTTGGAAAGTGTGCGGATAAAATCATTGATGATATTTTTATGTGGTCCAACCAAGAATGTGTTGGGCAAATGGAGTTCAAAACTATTTGCATTGCTTTGTGGTGGGTTGTGTGGGGATGTAGTGGTCTGTGATTGTTTAAAGAAGGGTAGTGTGAGATGTTGGGTTCTTGGGGTTTAAAATTTTGTTAAATGAACTCAAATCAAGTTGTTACAATTTTTTTATGTTTAAAATTGTATCATTGGATAATTTTAAAACAAAATTTCACCATTTTGTACATTTGTCTTGTGACTACATTCCAAAGGCTAACTAATGTTTTTCTGTCTTGCGTTGCTTCTTCTTTTTTCACACAAATTATTTCTCTTTCGGGCTAAAGGCCTGGCTCTTTTGTTATTATAAATTGAACAAGAAAGAGACAAGCAAGTAGGATTTGTGGAGTTAGCTTAGGAAGTGGATAGGATATGGAAGATCTGCTTTTTGTCCTTTCATTTCCAAACGCAACACTGTCATGTGCAGAGGAAAAGAAAATGACTGAAATCAAATCTCTCTATTAAAAAACGCGATCCATGAAAGTGGCCGGTAGGCACATGAAAGACACTTAATAGAACTCGAAAGTGATCCTAACTACACAGATGAATATATTAGGAAGCAGGTTGTCTTTAGTTTCAGCCCTTCATGAGAAATGCGACAACCTTTTGATGAGGACTATGCCAACTAGGCCAATGAATATGCCTGAAATTCCAGGTGGCAAAGTCCAAATGGAGGGATCAGAAACAATGAGATGATGATGATATATACCTTCGTAACACAAGAATGTGCAGTTCTAATGATTTCACAATCGGACATTCCAACGTTTCTTCTGCAAAGGCATCGCCTTTCTTGGCTTTTCTGCGAACCCATCAAACATCTAAGTATACAAGAACTTTTTCTGATCCTCTCAACCACTTTAGCTCTCTGATGGAAAAGGTATAACCAGAATAACGGTTTCTGAAACAAGCCTGAAGAGGAAAGTGGAAAGAAAGGAAGAAATCAAGCATGGGCAGCCCAAAGAAAGTGTCACCGTCAACAAGAAGCCCAAAGAAAAACTCAAGAACTCTCCATGATCTCTTTGTGCAGGAGAGTCCTCACTTCACCATCCCATCTTCTTCTCCCACTTCAGGAAATGAAGATCTTCTCTCCACTATTTCTTATTGCACCTTTGTTTTCACCTTCACCGACCCTTCAGAATCTCCGGCACAAAGAGACTCAAAGAGGCTTCAACTCACAAGACTCGTCTCGATATTGAAGTCTTCCAAGAAACCAGTGCATGGAAAAGTTTTGGTGGCTCTAGCGGCCATGATATCTGCCAACCTCTTCAGGCCACTCCCTCCTCCTTCCAGCCCTTCTGCCATCACGGATTTGCCTGAAGAAGAATACCCCGTTTCTATATTTTCTCCTCTGTGGTCACATCTCCAAATAGTTTACGAGATGCTTCTTAAGCTTGTTAACAGCACAGACCAGAAGATACTGAGAGAGTGCATCGATCATTCTTTCCTCCGCAACCTGTTAGCACTTTTCCAGTCAGAAGATCCGAGGGAACGTGAGACCTTGAAAAATGTGTACCACAAGATATATTCCAAGTTCATTTCTGATCGTTCCTTCATGAGGAAATCAATGACCGAGGTGCTCTTGAACTACGTTTTTGAGACAGAGAAGCATCCGGGTATTGCAGACTTGCTTGAGATATGGGGAACCATAATCAATGGGTTTACCGTGCCGCTCAAGGAAGAACACAAACTGTTCCTGATGAGAGTGCTCATTCCTCTACATAAGACCAAGGGGATGCAAGTGTACCATAGGCAATTGGCTTATTGCGTGTCACAGTTTGTGCAGAAGGAGCCTATGCTTGGAGGGGTTGTTGTCAGAGGGATTTTGAGGTACTGGCCTGTCACAAACTGTCAAAAAGAAATTTTGCTAATTGGTGATTTGGAAGATTTGGTTGAGAATTTAGACCCTGACCAGTATCGTAAGTTGGCCTTGCCCTTGTGTACCCAGATTACCAAATGCATAAACAGTTGGAATTCTCAGGTAAATCTGTTACTTCTGCTACTAATCCTCACAAGAAGATTGAATACACTGAAATATACTGAAACCTATAAAATCATACTAGATTGTCATTGAATAAGATGAGACGTAATACTTAATTATAAACCTTCATGGTTTCCTCTGCTGATTCAAGTACAAGAAATTCCCTTTGTCAGCTTCATGAATTTCGCATTTGATAAACAGATTTTTTTTAATTTATTTATGATGCATAATTTTGTGTTAGGTAGCGGAGCGTGCACTGTATATGTGGAACAATGAGCAGTTCGTGAAAATGGCACTGATAGGAACAGTGGAAGTGTTTAATGTGATTGTGGAAGGCATGGAAAAGAACCTGAAGTGGCATTGGAGCAAGAGCGTTAGACAACTAACGGAAAGTGTGAAGGTGATGCTGGAAGAAATGGATCCAGATCTGTATTCAAAGGGTCTCATGGACATGGAAGCTAAAGAATCAATGGCGCATCTAGAAGATATCAAAAGAAAAAAGAAATGGGAAAGAATAGAATGGGAAGCTGCCAAGAATCAGTTTTTCAACCCACAACGTTATATACGTGTCTCCTACTGATCATTAATGTATGCAAATTTGTGCTGGCATTGGTAATGCCAACTTTCCTTGGGTAGAACAATAATTGCAAGACCAAAATTGTTTAAAAGTTGCTTAGTTGTAACAATGCCAAATATGAATACTTCAAACCAGAAATTGGCAGGTGTGGTTTGAGATATTCAATGGAAGGCAAATAACAATTAAAAGCGTCCAAAATATAAAGAAACAGAGACATAATAAACCCAGATGAACAACAGCTGTGTATTATGTATTTCTACAGTATACTACATTAATATAAAAATATTATCATATTATACTAAATTATTAGTCGGTTCTAGAAGTGTATGTTTAATAACTTTGATGAGTAAATATGTAAAAAGTTAAAGACAAAACAAAAATTGCTTGCTGCCTAACAGGAGCCAGGAACCCAACACGGAGTGTACTGTTAGAATTATTCTTTATCCAATATTAACATAGCATTATTATTTTTAAATATAATTGTCAATTATAACACTTTAAAAATAATTTAAATATTATATCACTTAAATTATGACAAAAAGTATTTATCTTCTAGTAAAAAATCATACCAATAACGAGAAAAACTCCTTTCTTCTAATTGGAGAAAGAAATACTCAAACAGAGAGTATTTCTGTCACGGTGATGAGGAAAAAAGACATACTGATGGAGACGCATATTACGGTGGACCTTCCCACCGGGGAAACTTTTATTTGTATAAATCTCTTTATTTTAAAACCAACGAAATTATTTCTTTTTTTTTTTAATCTTTCCCAATTTACCTACGGAAAGTCACGCAGCCTTCATAGCTTTTCCAGTTTCTTGTTTACATAACTTTGCCCAACCACTGCCTGCAAGAAATGCCCATCAGTCGTCGTTGGATAGGTCAATCAAGAAAACGGAGAATGAGAACAAGAATGACGCTATGTCGATCCACGAATGGTGGATTAGTGAGTGACGAAACCCAAACTGTTACTATAAAGAAGTTTGGGACGTATACTGTTCGTGATATAACGAGGAAGCGATTTGAGAACTGCATTCCACGGAGAAAAAGGAGAGGTTCAAGCGGTATTTTCCCGAGCAAGGTCAAGTGTGGAACTTGTGATCTTCAACCGAGTGCTGACCTTCCGTTTGATAGAAAACACTAATATTGTCAGGGGTCACACAGTGAGAGCTAAAAATCCCTCAGTGGATCAATTATTCTCAAACTACAAGTATAGCTACTGTAGACATTAACTAGCTTTAAGGGGCATCGATGTCATAAGAAAATAATTCCCACATTTTTCCCTTGGGATGAAAGCATAAAAAGAAAGACAACGATGCATGCACAAGTTTAAATAATTATTGTCCCAATCAAAATTTAAATGATGTGCTGCCTAAGGCAAAACCGTCGAAATCGGTTTTCAAGTTACATCTTACAAACAATTTAACAAACTAAATACTCTGGAAACTACGAGCCAGATCATATACCCCTCCCCTCCCTCTCTGGTGGTACAAAACTGTGTAACCAAGACACAACCTATCAACTTGAACTATAGAAATTGGAAAACTGTGGCGACGAGCACAAGGGTTGAATAAAACTCCTAGCCTTTAATTAAGGCTTTAACTATAAAGACAACAAAGAATCAAGCATTTCTAAAGGTTGAAAGTCATTCCCCTGTACATTTCTCATGGGAAACTCCATCAAATGAGATCTCGAGGCTTGTGGAACTGCTTGTAATCATCAAGCTCAAACGAATTGTACAAGTACTGGTACTCTGTCTGGAAACTTGGACCGAGACTAAGCTCCTGCTTCATATGAATCCGGACTCCAATATTGCTTTTCAACACAACGCCCAACAAGGTCAACGCAGAAGATACAAAAGCTCACACAAATTATACTTGATATTTTGAAAGTTTTTCTTTTACTGGAGGCTCCAAAGCAGACATACACTGATCCCATGCTCCATTGCGAAGCATCTACAGCATAAACATAAGATTGCATTGATTATCACGAGCAGAGTATTGCGGCTATAACTTGAACATAACATTACCCAAAAGGTAGATGTGTGCCTTAAAGTAAAGAAACACTAACCTGTTTATACCCATGCAAGACCTGGCAGACTTCATTGTGTAAATCTTCACTCCTTATTTCCTACAGACGTTAATAAAAGCAGTTATATTATAAAATCTTTAAAGCAATTTTTAACTTTTAAGATGACCATACTGACGGCTAAACGTACATGCCAACTTGCAATCGCTTTGCACATGTAAACAAGCGAGCTTAGAGCTCCAGAAGGATTAGCTTTGACCTGAAAGCAAGTGTAAGATACCAATTACTTTACAATTCTACATCTAAAATTTTAGTGTGAATAGGAAATTACCATAGCACATAGGCCTCTAAAAGCATCCTCTTTCTCAACATCATCTCGTATCCTGCAAAAATATCATCAAAGAGAAATCAGTATACAAGGTAACCTAGAATGGAACTGTGGTCATCTAAAATCATGTTCAATTTGTAAAGTGTGAATGTTGAGATAATGATTACTCTCCTTTATCCATGGATTTCAAATATTTAAATAAATACATGATTGCATGCACTACATTGATATATATGTTCTCAGACAAGTATTATCTAAGATCTTCATTATAATATTGGACATTCAGCTTGTTAGAATGTAATCAGCTATTCCAGATTTTGTAGGAAATTAACCATTACATAATCTAGGAAAATTAGGATGATTGATTGCTAATTATTAGGTGTTTTTATTATAATTGACTCTCTAAAATAGTATAAATACATACTGTGTGGTCTGCATTAGACACACAATACATTTTTAGAACATCTACAATTCTATGATATCAATAGTTTAGGGTTTCGATCTTGGATTTTCTTTATCTTTATTTTTTGTGACAGTACCAGCAGCTACTGTATGCCCCTTTTCTCAGTCACCGAACGTCATTTTCCTCTGGTGACCACTGTGATCAAGACAGTCTTCCTCCAGAGACCACTGTTCTTCATTCGCCGCCCTGATTCGCTGCACATGCACCCAGACCTGCAACTAACCGAGACGAGCAACTATAGCTCCTAGGCTGCTGCTGTCCAGCTATGGTTTTTTGTTACATCGTTACTTTCATTGACTATCTCTCCCAATGTACTTTGTTATTCTTAATAAAAAAATGTTTTGATATTTTTTCTATATTCCAACTTGGTTATGCTTCTCCTCAACGTCCTTTGTTTCAATACCACGGGTTAAAACTCCAATTTTGACTCACTCTACTAATCTTCAAGCATCATTTCACGCTCCAACTGTCCCTCTGCCCACGCCTCCAACACCTAAACTTCCTATTGCAATACGAAAAGGTATTTGTTCCTCTTGTAATCCTAACCCTCTATGCTTTTACCATTATTTATGATTGTTTCTCTCCATCCTATTTCTCCTTTGGATTTTGTGTCTATTTCTAAGACTACATGTGAAGCCATGGTTGATACCAGCTGACATCAGGCAATGGCAGAGATGGCAACCTTACATTCCAATGGCACTTGGGAACTTGGTCCTTTACCTCCTGGCAAGCAAATTGTTGGCAGTTGTTGGGTTTATATAGTGACAGCAGGACCTCATGGCCAAAATAACTTTTGTTCGTCTCTTTTTGGCTATGGATGCTATTCATCTTTGGCCTTTATCAGCTAGATATTAAAAATGCATTTTTACATGGTGAATTGCAAGAAGTTTATATGGATCAACCCTCTTGTTTTCTTGCTCCCGGCAATTCTCATCTTGTTTGTAAGCTTCAACAGTTTGAAGCAATCTCCCC